ATGTCATGGATGTAAGTAAATAATTGCTAGTAAAAGATATGTAAAATTTTTATCCATTTATATTCCTCTGCATTTATGTGTGTGTTAGTGCACATTTACACTTACCTGGAGATATAAGCGCATATAAATATCTTTTCAACTATAAAATAAAATAATGTGTGTGTGTGTGTGTAATGCAATAAGTTACAACAGGGAAGATAGGTTAGTTGGTTGAGGTGTCCAGCGATGGGAATTCGTAGCTGTAAGTTCTAACGACTCGCTTGCTTTCTTTTCTGGCTTCAGTTGGCAAAATATACTTTGTGATACGTGAGCTTGTTTAGCTTCACCAGGCAGACATTTTGTAACGCCATTTTGGAAATTTAATATTCGGCGGTCGTGCTTACGAAGATGAGGTTTGTGAAATTTTCGTATATGAAAGATAACGCTAACGGTAATACAGTGTAACCCAGATATAAGAGAGATATCGGGACCGCAGAAGAAGTCTCTTATATCCGGGTTTGGTCTAATTTATATACATTAACACAGGCTCTGATTTGGGACCAGAGAAAATCTCTCTTATATCCGGGTTTCTCTTATATCCGGGTCTCTTATATCCGGGTTACACTGTAATAGCTGTTTCCTTATAAGGAAATATTCAGCACTCATTGATCGAACAGCCATTGCTACTGACGGTTGAAAATTATAAAATCTTTCTATTAAAAACATTTTTTCAAGAAAATAGGTTTCTCATATCCACTAGCTGTTACCGTTGTTTTAGCATCTATAGGGACTTTTAAATTTTTTATACTAATATTTGGTATGAAGTTTTGCTGAAATGGCCGGTACTAGGGTCTCGCCAACCCAAAACTTTGATACGCCCCCACTTCTCTACTATATTTAGATTTCAAAATTCCCAACCTGGGAGCCACAACCCTTGAAGGAAAATTGGGGAGAATGACAGCGCTTTCTTTTAAATTACCAAAAGTCAGGGAATTATCCAATTTTAATGTAATTTCAGTATATATTAATTATTTACTTTTATAAGGAATTTTTTTTATTTTTTAAAACATCTGAGAAAATGTTATTCTTTTTACCATAACCACCAATATTTTCATGACTAAATTTTACTCGAAAAAAATATTTATTCGACTTTTTTACATTTCCATAAAGATTAATCGCCGACGCATCTCCGATGGAAAAAAAAAGTTTTACAAAGATTCCAACACAACACAAATAGGAATGACTTTAAAATTTGTTTTCAAAGGAGTATTTCAGTTTTCTGGAATTGTTTTTCATGCGTTGAAATCTTTAAACGTTTTTATTTTTTAAACATTTTAACTTTCTAGAAATCTAAGAAATAGGGACTAGTACTTTTATTTTTATTGCTAGCCGTGGATTTCTGGTTAGTATTACTATTAGTAAAAAAAATTCAAAGTCCTTCTTAGTGAATGATCTCGGAATAAAAAAAAAATGATTTTACCGAGATATATTACATTCTTAATTGATTTTTTTAAAAAAAAACTGTTTTAAGAAGAACATTACAATTAAAAAAATAAGCACTACTGAAATTAGTACTTTTGCCCCCCCCCTCTCCAGTAGGCATTGTGCTCCCACGAAGTTGAGAGGATCGGAGTAATAAGTATACAAACCTTTCGATTATTATAGTTTATGATTGCCAATATAACTTAGGTAGAAAAAATAAGAAGTACAAAAAGCAAAAAATAAAAAAAATAAAAAATAACGCAAAAAAAAAAAAACGAAAAAAAAACGAAAAAAATAACGCAGCTGTAACTAGCCCTTGTGGGGCTCCAACCTCATTGGGGATCCCTGCATAGTGCGCAACGCACCGGCCATGCAGATACACTATGCATATTATTAGTTGATGACTGACAATATAAGGTCAGTTCAATAATAATATAAAAAAAAATGGCGGATGGCCATAAAACAGTGATGAAAAAATGGCAGAGGCCACAACGGAGCAAAAGAAGACGCCCCTTCTTCGTCGAGGGTTTGGGGGGTAAGACGCGCCGGCCCTGAGTGCTGAATTCAGATATGCGGGTGAGCAATCATCCCCGTCACAGTATAGATCCTCCATTTTGCATTATTATAGTGAGCAAATATAACAGTTACCTGAAGTGTTCCGTATGCTATACGGCTATAAATGTGACAATGATAGCCAAAACGCATAAAAATGCTTCCAGTCGAATCAACGTCTCTTCTAATATTTAGGAATATCGATTGCCCATATATTAGGAGACACGTGGAGCTACTCTATATGTTCCCGCGATTTCCATCTAACTTGGAATAAGTACGTCTCATCCATTGTCCAGTATGAAGGATCTTTTTGCCTGACAACATTGCAGTTCAACGTCATAAATCTGTTTGCTCTCGTCCATATCAAACATCCTGCTGCCGATGTCTTCGCCGTAACCCTTGCATGGGTGGCTTTCACAATAGGTATCCCGTGATTTGGTCTGCTCAGGTTGTGAATTCAGTGGTGACATCCTCATAAACTGGCTGCCAACCCAGGCTAAAGAACCCAGTCTGTCCTTTTATTGGAACCGATTGCTGTGATAAGTGATAGATTCATACCTTTCCAAATGGTATTTTTGTGTAAGAAAATGTAACGAACTCGATAGGAACTCGAACTCGTTCCTCTGATTTTTCATTCCTGGCTGCTATCTTTTACTAGCACCCGAACATCCTTTCAACAAATTCCTATATTTCGCAAGCCTAAGCAATATTTGCCACCTTACTCTCCCTCCTGCTCCAGTCCTAACATCTATTTACAAAAATCTCGTTATATAGGTTACTTTTTCTCCTATATCTCATATTTTAAGTATGTGCCGTGAGTGTCAAATTCTTCAAGCCCACTTTTCTCATTATATATCTTAGATATTTTTTCTTATTCAAAATACAGTTGTCCATTTCCATTTCCAATAAAACTTCCCTATTGCTAACATGTTCCATCCATGATATTCTCAGCATCCTTCTGTAGAACCTGTTGCTCAAGCCTCCTTTCCGTCTGTGGAGACATTTTCCAACATTCATTACTATGTTGGATGATTGATTAACAGTGAAATAATGTACAGTCTGTCTGAAGTTATTATGCAAATCACATATAGCTCAATACTTCGTTGTTTTTAAATCATTTTACCATATTTTAAGCGATTGATTTAGGCGACAAAAGAACATATGGGTTAATTTTTTATGTAGTTTCAACATGTTTTATAAAAGTTATTGGACCTATTATAAAAAATGCAGTTTTATTATCGAAAAACCAGAAAATAACTTACTTCAATAATAAGGTCATAAAATAATCAACAATTGATCAATACCTATAACAGAAGAAATAACAAACATATATGATAAGTCTTTGACGCATTTACATCTTGACACAGTAACCCTTGTTCTAAATAACAATCAGCAATTTAGTATCAAATGGTTTTGTTAATTTCCTTTTTTACTTTAGCAGGTTCAGTTTCGACATGGTGGTTTTAATTGCTTCCCATAGATTTTGTCATTTTGTTTGCCATCTTCACAATTAATCATAGATTTTCGATGTGAGTCAGATTGGGATCTTTATGCTCAAAAGATTCAGGAGTGAACTTAGATTCACCAGAAGGAGAAGTATCGTGCATGAATACAAATTTCACTTTGGAACTGCAAAGCTGGAATTTTTACCATTCAAAGAAAGGCGTGTTCTAAAAATTTCAATATTGAGCATTGTTCAGTTTAACCCCTTCATTAATTTTGAACTGTCCAATAATAGTTTGGCCAACGATTCCATATCCTTATTGACCCATGCTGCCTTCTTTTAGCCACAAACACATCTACATTGGATAAAAGCCATCCTTTGACCCATCCATTAGGTCTATCTTGTGTCATTTCGTTCGACCTTGAAAATTACTTTAGAAAAGTCACTTTTCATTTATTTTATTTTTTTTTTTTTTTTTTCCCAATTTTGACGTTCGAAAATATTTACTTTGCTGAGATGAGTTTGCCTAGATTTCTTGACATGTCTTAATTTGCGGAATATTCTATACCTTGACTCCCTCAATTCTGAGCACTGGTCAAAAGTCGTTGTTTTGCTTTAGTTTACTTTCCCCTCGAGGATACTTAAGTTCTTAAAGCCTTTTCCTTTGCTCCTCGTTCTCAGCTTAGTTATATTTTCGATGATCTCTGCGAAGCTTCTTTGATATCGCACATATGGACATTCCCCCCTCCCAATACCTTTGTTATTTTCTGTATTTCAGCGTTTGCTAGATCCCTTCCATTACATATATTTTAGAAAAAAATATATTTTGATGAGATTTCAGACGCCTTAATCTAACAGTTTAATTTGCATAATAACTTCAGTCAGCCCATTTTCATAAATTCCAACTATCTTAAAATAGAACCAATAAAAGTAGCTTAAAATTTTGAGATCTTACCAAGGGTTGAATTGGACTTGTTTACATTTAACAAATATTCGTTCTGAACATTTTGAGTTATTGAAGTTGATGTGATTTACACCATAGCTTCAGATGGGCTGAACTTTATTGTCTCTGAAATTCAGGCAAAAGCTAAAGTTCATTGACTTTTTCGGGGTCACTGAAAAAATACAAATTCTTTATAAAATTTCATATGCAGTAACGCGTCGTTCTGTCTTTGAATTTTTTCCTTCACAATTTCGAACAAGAAAATGTAGCAATGGATTATTAACAGAGTATAAGTATAGAGTAGTAAATACAAAATACCTACATTGGTCTTTCAGGCATAAATAAATTATAAGATGACATAATGTAATTTGAATCCTGTTGTATTTTTTACGTGAAAAGAAAAGTTATGAAAAAACGATGAAGAGCAATATGATCATGGGAAAAATCTTATTAGGAAAAGGTGTGAAAGTTCGTTGCGACAGTGTCTGAAGACAGTGAGACAAAATAAGATTTTATCTATTTCAGTTCAAAACATGAACTTGCGTAACTTCAAGACAAAAACCCACGCTAATTTTCGAAATAGCAGGTGTTCTGTAAGAGGGAGCAATGCAGTTCGTTCGTTTTTTTTTGTCTGTCTCTTTCTGTCGCTCATTTATTATTTATTTACCTAGAAATTTTTTTTCTTTATTTATTTGTCATTTTTGTTCATTTCCTCCTTTTCCTCTTTTCTTTCTTTCTTTCTTTCTTTATTTATTTGCCTTATAATTTTTGTTCTTTTCTTTCATTTCATTTCATTCTTTACTTATTTAATTACCTAGAAATTTATTTTTCATTTCTTATTTTATTTATTTGTCATTTTTTGTTCATTTTCCCCTTTTCCTCCTTTCTTTCTTTCTTTATTTGCCTTATAATTTTTTGTTCTTTTCTTTCTTTTCATTTCATTCTTTACTTATTTATTTGCCTTATAATTTTTTGTTCTTTTCTTTGTTTTCATTTCATTCTTTACTTATTTATTTGCCTTGAAATTTATTGTTCGTTTATTAATTTATGTATTTGATATTTTTGTTCATTCCTCCCTTTTCTCATTTCTTTCTTTCTTTCTTCATTTGCCTTCTAATTTCTTGTTCTCTTCTTTTTTTCTTTCTTTCTTTAATTATTTACTTGCCTTGTAATTTCTTGTTCTTTTCTTTCTTTCTTTATCTATTTATTTATTTCCCTTGTAATCTTTTGTTCTTTTCTTTATTTTCCCTGTAATTTCTTGTTCTTTTCTTTCTTTCCCAGTCTTTTAGTTTCTACTTTTTTATTTCTGTTTCTTTTTTGTCTTATTTTTCTTTCTCTAATGATTTTACCCCGTTATTATTTTGCCTTTTTCTTTTTTGCCTTTTCTTTTCCATTCATTCTTTCGTTATCTTGTTATTTTTTTATATTTTTTCTTATTTTTATTTTATCGTATTATGGTTTTCTTTATTTTTTTTTATTCTTCTTTTATTTCATTTTTTATTTTAACTTTTTAAGTTTTCTTTCTTATTTTTTCATTCTTTTTTCTTTTTGTATTAATACGTTTCCTTTCTTTTTCGTTAATTCTTTCTTTATCCTGTTAATTAATTTTCTTCACTTCATTGTCTTGCTTTACTTTTTCTTTCGTTTTTTCTTTATCTTGATTTTTGTCCTTCTTTTTCTTTTTACTTTCGTTAATCTTCACTTTGTTCGTTCATTCTATTATTCGTTCTTTTTCTTCTTGCATTCTTCCTGTCTTTTTCTTTCTTCCTTTTTTTCTTTCTTTCTTGTTTTTCTTCTATCTCTCCTTCAAAACGATTTAGAGCATTGTGTAATACTGGGTTCTTTCTTTCTTTCTTCCTTCTCAAATATGTTTCTCCCTCGTCACGACTTAAATAATGAGATTAATGGTTGAACCGATCGGTTATTTCAGCTTATCTAAAACGTTCCAGGAGTTTGTGTTAAAATGTTTACTCACGAGCTCATTGTCTAAAGAGGAAGAATCAAATGACTCCAGTTTTAGTCATCGGCTGCAATTCTTCTCACTTCCTATCTTCTTTCTTACAAGCTAAACACATGAAAAGAATAGGAAATGGGGAAAAATAATATCCTTGCTAAAACAGCAAGAGTTTCTCAACGGTTTTGTTTTTGCTCTTTAAATTTTATGCACATATTCTCTTTTTACTTTTTTTTCTATCATTGCCATAGTTTCTTTTCTTTCTCTTTTTTCCTTCTCTAATTTCTTCTCTTATTCTTTTCCTATAGTCACTTCTTTCTTTAGTCCATTATTTCTTGCTTTTTTTTCCTGTTAACTTTTCCTTACATTATTTTTTTTGTTTTCTTTTATTTTTTAACATTTTTTAAAAAATTGTCTTCCAAGTTACCTCTATTCGTTTATTTTTGTTATCTTACCACGGCATATTTTTTTTTTTTTTTTTTTTTACACATTATATAATTTGTCTTTCTTTTTTCTTTTCACCTTTCTGGAAATACTTCTTTCTTTCTTTCTTTCTTTTAGCATTTCCAAAAATTCTTATTTTCTTTTACATTTACATCATTTTCTTTCTTTTGTCATTTTAACTTTCTTCATCTTTCTTCCTTTATTTATTCATTCTGTTATCTTGTTACGGTTTCCTTTTTTCTTATTTTCTTTTAGTTTTATACCATTTTAATATGATTTTTCTTTCTTCTCTCTTTCCCCTTTCTATCTTTCTTTCTTGATGTATTTATTTATATTTCTCCTTCTTTCCCTTTTATCTACTTTCTTTGTTAATCGTATTCTCTCATTCCTTTTTCTTTCTCTTCTTTTTTGTGCATTTCTTTGTTAATCCGATGTTTTTTTTTCACTCATCCATTCATTGTTTATTTACTTATTTATTTCCAAAATTCATGATGTTAACTCTAAACTTTCAATTCACATGAGTCATCATAAAGAAATGGCTGACAGAGAAAATTAAGCGTATTTTAAGAATTATATTGCGTCAGTATATTTTAAAAAATAAATCGAATGCGGAAAAAAAAGGCATCAAGTCAAATGACAGCAACGTACAATAATTCTTTTTCTATGTGCATTCAAGAATGCCGTATCGCTAACAATAGTAACTTTTATTTAATTATTTGGGATTTACTCATTAAGTTGTTCGGAAAGTAATTATTTATTATCAGAAAGTTTTATGAAAACAAATTTATCGATTTATTGCTCATCCGTTTCCACTGAGTGCAAATAAACACTGCTCGGTCCACGGATTAAACTCACATATGTCACCAAATTAAAAAAAAACTCACTAGGCCAGCGGTCCCCATAGCGTGCTGAGGGCCGGTACTGGGCCGTGTACCATTTGGTCTCGGGCCGCAGAGATAGAACAAAACCTTTATATTCCATTTCAATGACTATCGCCGTCTTGTTTAGTGTTTTGTTACGTGCGTGACCGACACCGTCTCCAACATTGTGTAAAAATTGTCTTATATGACACTGGTCTGTGGATCAAAAAGTTTGGGGACGGCTGCACTAGGCCATTGGCTGGTTGGTTGTGAATTTGGTGACATAGTGGTTGTGTGATCAATCGCTGGATCGGGCAGGGTGTACTTATACTCAGTGGAAACGGGCGAGCAGTAACTGAAGAGTACTAAATAAAAATAAGAACTAGACGATATACACCCAAGGAAGGTCGGGGGGTACAAGGGCCGAAACGTTGGAATAACAACAAAAAGATGGGGACCCGAAGGTAAATAATGTAATAATTATAATTATTGTTCTCTTACAAATGCAGAAGGTTTTGCAGTTATATTTTATAGATTGCGCAAAGCATTTGATAAGGTCTATTTGAACTGCAGGAAATAACTTATTTTATTTAGGAAATATATTAGAATAATTTAGAACTTTTGTTGGGTACAACCCACCCACATGCGGAAAGAAAATGAATTATCGAAGTGCACCAAAATAGAAAGGGGCGTAAGACAAGGATGTGTCTTCTTACTGGATTTATTAAGAGATCTGGAAACACCACCAGCAACTGTTATCAGTAGACGCAACCTTAACAATATAATATAAACAGATGACACTGTATCTGTGGCAAAACACAGTAGGAAAGCTACGGAACTTCCTAGACAATGTAGTTGTTATGAAGTTCCTATACGCACAATTCTAGTAGTAGTCGTCACAACTGTCTTTCTCTTCTCCGTCTATCTCGAGTTCTGCCAATATATAGTGGTATGGTTATGCTAATTAGTATTAGCCTAACCAATCCCCCTCCACCTCCCGGAACCTTTTAGGTTTAACTCCTTGAGTTGATCTACTGTTTGTCCGACATACCTTTCACTGGTTCCAAGAGGATTTCTCATTATAGAAGATCTCGGCCTACTTCTTTCTTCTTCAATATGCACGGCTTCATTTTCTGATTCCTCAGAAAACTCTTGAGCACTCATTGTCTCTTCTGATCTATTATCTTGTTCTCTATCCTATCGGCGACGCCATTTTGTTATGAAGTTCCTATACGCACAATTGTAGTAGTATTAGTATTAGCCCCAAGTGATTTTCTCTTCACCATCTATCTAGAGTTCTGCCTATATATATAGTGGTATGGTTATGGTAATTAGTATTAGCCTAACCAATCCCACTATAGTAGAAAAGGAAAGCAAGCACTAACCATCAATTACAAGACAAAATATATACTTATCAGCAAGAGAAAAAATACCAAGATGCGAACTCTAAGAAACCAAAACCAAACAGGTAATAATCAAGGAATTGTTTCAAAGACATCCGAAGAGGAAATGGAATAGTAAAATAAATTGGAAGATTCCGTTGAAAATAGAGAAAAGAGTCTTTTGAACATCTATGTAATATCAGCCGCCACTGTAAGGCACTAAATGTTGGAGACACCAAAGATCTAGTTCTACAGAAGGATGCTGAAAATACTGTGACCTGTTACGCGTACGGCACGAAGAACTCTTTAGAAAAATGGAAACAAAAATGACATATACTTAGAATCAGAAAGAGACAGATGACATTTGCTGGAAACATCACGAGGAAATAGCGCTTGGAGAATTTAACACTCACGAGACATCTCGAAGGCGAAAAGTGGGCAGCAAGTCACCTGCCTGGTGAGCTTGTTTGACTTGATAGTTAAACGAAGATTACTAAGAGCTACAAAGAATATGAAATTGCGGGGAGCCACGTTCGCCTGCATCCTGCGGGGAAATTGCAAAGAGAAGAATATTTTTAATCTCATAGTCTGGCACTAGGTTATACCTTTATTTTATTTTCTTCCATTCTTAACGCATCTTTTCGTTTATCATTCTCACTCTTTTTTCTAATTCTTACTGCGGCCATATTTTATGTATGAAACCCCATCTAAATACTGCCCTAAATGCATTAATGGAGGTGTGATATCCACATATCAACGGCAATGGAAACTGGCTACGCAGTGACTGTCGTAGTTTTCACATCAGAAAAGAGACAACATAAATCGCCACTCTGCGGTCAAGAGCTTCCGTCATATAAAATATGGAGAGAAAATTTATACATTACTAGATGAAATTTTCTCAGCATTTCTAACAGAGTGAATTGCAATGCCAAACGGTCTTTAATTTTCAGGGTAGGTCCGTCTTGAAAGTGAGAGATAGAATAAAAAAAAATCTAGAAAATCACATTATATTAATTTTTGAACATTTATTTTATTTCTATTGAAAAAATAAGTATTTCACGCCATAGCAAAACATAACTCAGTTTTTGGTGAAGAAACCAAGTACAGAAGCCATACATTTCCTGTAGTTGGTTACCAAATTTTTACAGATCCCAGGGGTGATTTTGGCCCACCCCCCTTTACAGATCCTCTCCAAATCCTTAAGATTTGTAGGTTGTAGTTTTCAGCTTCAGCTCTCTCCACAGATTCTCTAAAGGATTAAGGTCCGGAGACTGACTAGGCCACTCCATTACCTTAATGTGCTTCTACTTGAGCCACTCCTTTGTTGCCTTAGCCATATGCTATGGGTCATTGTTATGCTGGAACACCCATCCATGACACATCTCCAGTGTCCTGGCTGAGGCAAGGAGGTTTTCACTCAAGATTTTCCTGTACCTGGTCCAACTCACCGTTTTTTCCCCGCCAAACACGGTGAGTCGAAGTGATGTCAAAAAGCTCAATTTTAGTCTCGTCTGACTACAGCACTTTCTCTCAACCCTACTCCGAATCATCCAGGTGCTGATTTGAAAACTTCTGAGGTGTCTGTACATGTGCATTCTTAAGTAGGGGGAACTTGCGGGCACTACATGATTTCAGTCCACTATGACATGTGTTATTAACTGTCATCTTGGTGACTGTGGTCCCAGCTGCCTTGAGATCATCAATAAGCACTTGCTGCGTAGTTCTGTGCTGTTTCCTTATGTTTCTCATCATCAATTTCACTCCATGTTGGGAGATCTTACATGGAGCTGCAGACCAAGGGAGATTGATAGTCAATTGGTGTTTCTTCCATTTTCTTATTATTGCCCCAACAGTTGACTCCTTCTCACCAAGCTGCTTGCCAATCATCTTGTAGACCATTCCAGTCTTGTGCAGGTATACAATTTTGTCCCAGATGTCTTTAGACAATTCTTTCATTTTGCCCATTGTGGAGAGATTAGATTCTGATTCCATTGAAGGATTCTGTGAACTAGTGTCTTTTATACAGGTAATGAGTACTTGATTAGGAGTAATAATTGAGTAATAGGACTAGTCTATATGCCTCCTGGTCACATAACCACTCTGCTGGGCAGGAATAATTGCTGGTTGGTAGGGCGTGAAATATTTATTTTTTCGATAAAAAAGAAATAAATGTTCAAAAATTAATATAATGTGATTTCCTAGAATTTTTTTTTTATATTCTATCTCTCACTTCCAAGCCAGACATACCCTGAAAATTATAGACCGTTCCTATTTGTGTAAGGTAGCAAATTCAGAAAATCAGCAGGGGATGAAGTACTTATTTTCGCCACTGTAGACAGATAGATAGATACGAAGGCTGATAAAAAAAGTCTCAAGATTTGGTGCTATTACAAAAAACTACAACACATCAATTCGTAGTTCCTTTCTGAAGCGACACACTTTATCCAGCGTCATTTCCAATGATGGAAGCATTCCTGGAACTCGTTTGGGGGTAGTGAGTAACTGTCTCATTGCATTCCCTTGGACTTTCTCGATGTCTTGAAATCTTGTTCCTTTCAAGTGGGATTTGATTTTAGAAAAGAGGAAAAAGTCACAAGGGGCGACGATCTAGCGAATATGGTGGTTGGCGGGACGGTGTAATGCTTCACAGGCTATGGTGTGGTGAGATCACCACACTCTACACACTTACCTTCCAAATACTGCTATAAAAAACGAAAGAGTATAAGAACATTACAACATAGTGTGCATGCACGACAGAGTTCAATATACAGTGATGTTCGATAAAAGTGACTCACCTGATTTGTTTTACCAAATGTTCTCTTCTCCGATGAAACAAAAGTTGAGCTAAATTCAAAGGATAAGCGATCTAAAATCCGAAGAAGAAGCTTTTTAAACTCTTTGAATTTAGTAGTAAGTACTGTCAAGCATCCGTTCAGTATGATTATCTGGGGATGCTTTTCTTTTCATGGAACTGGTTTCTTAAAACCTATTGAAAAGACACTCAGGAGCGAGCAGTACAAGAGAATTTTAGTCTTGTCTGCTCCCTTCTGCGGAAAAGGTGAAAATTGACCACACCAAGCTTATCTTTATGCAGGATAATGCTCCCTGTCACAAATCAAAATTGATGAAGGAATACTTTGATGAGAAGCAGATGAGTGTTATGACATGGCCGCCCCAATCTCCTGACCTCAACCCCATAGAAAACTTATGGAGCATTATAAAACACAGGCTCTCGAGAAAGCAGTTGAGCAACAAAGAGGATTTGATTGTAAATTTCATATCCGAATGCAATTCAATGCTTGGAGATGAGATATGCCAGAACCTAATCAAGTCCATACCAAAAAGGGTTGAAAAGCTTATTCAAAATAAAGGAGGACCCATAGATTTTTAAAATATTTCGAACCATATTTCCTATTATAAATAAATTATATCTCTATTATTCTTTATTTAAAGCTGTTTGGCTATGTTTCTATTGATTACTAGTTGCAGGAAATAAGTGCGTCATTTTTTTTTGCACACAGTTTTTCCCTAAATCTCATTTATATCCAATATTATAATTATCAATAGAATACCTTAGGGTGAGTAAAATTTTTTACTAGGTGGTCGGGAAGGGGTCTTAAAAATTAGTTTGACCCCAAAAACAATAGGCGAAAAATCTTTAAGTAAAAAAAAATCAGATGAGTCACTTTTATCGAACAGCACTGTATATCTGCGCCATGAGGCTCCATTCTAGATACTTTATCTCTTTTGATCAGGCCAGATAGTTAGATAGATAGATAGATAGATAGATAGATAGATAGATTAATTAGTTATGGTGAAGGCTACACGATTAGTGTACCAAGCAAAGACTGAAATAATGTGTTTCCCGCAAAATATTGAGAGAAAATATAAAGAGTGAATAAACATAAAACAAAATTAATTGGGATAAGCCCATGAAAAATGTAACGTCTAATCTGTAGGACGCAGAACTTCAGAACTTCTTTCAGGAAATACGAAAATTAACATTTTTTGTCGATCAGTTTAGATTTTTACTGCCATCTATAAAGTTTATTTTAGTACAGCTCAAGACATATTAGTCGTTAACGGGACAATGTTGTTCATGATTCAAATCGAAGGATTCAAACCTGGGTACCACGGATGGAATGAAGGAAGAGATCTTGTTTGAATTCTCCAAGTATGGTATGAGAGCCCTACGCTTGCTTTTATGATTATTTATGATATTTCCTTCCACGAAAGCGTTCATCTTTACCGCCAGGCGTCCATTGTGAACCAAAATCACTAATTACGTCATTTATTCCTTTTTCAATTCTTTTCTTCTTTTTTTCTAATTCCTTTCTGATAAAAAAAATGTTTCTGAAGATATTATGTTTATAATACCCAGAAATTCATACACAGATGTCCCCAAAGAAGGCGTTGATTATATCCAGTAACAGGACCCAAAGTGTGTGAGTTCAATACCCGGTTAAGACAGTGGAGAACTTGGAGAGGGGAATTAACAGGAGATAACTGATAACTAACATCCATTAAACATGGCACGTGGAACTAGAACAGTCTACCTCAGTGAGCGAAATAAAGGGTTCAGTTCAACATTCCAACCACCTGAAGAAGGCCGTAGCGTACAACGGCCGAAAAGTTGTAATAAATATTGCGACAAAGATGAGGACAATAGTCTGAATAATGTAAATAGTGTACCTCATCTCAGAAATATAGACAGATACTGAAGAGCCGAAACGTTGTAATAAATATGGCGGCAAAGATGAGGACAATAGTCTGAATAATGTAAATAGTGTACATAATACCTCATCTCAAAAATATAGACAGATACTGAAGAGCCGAAACGTTGTAATAAATATGGCGACAAAGATGAGGACAATAGTCTGAATAATGTAAATAGTGTCCTTTCTTTTCTGTTTTTATCGGTATTTTCCTTCTTTCTCAGAGTCTCTTCTTTTCATGAGTTTGTTTCTTTATTTCCCTTGTTTTTATTTTCCAATTTCTTTTAGTATATTTTTCATTCTCACAGCCATTTTGTTATACGTATTTCTCTTTTTCCTTTATGCATTTCTTTCTTTCTTTTTATTTCCCTCTTTCTTCCTTTCTTTATATTTCTCCTTTTTTTCTTCTATGTGCAATTGGTACTATTTCGTACTCACTTTCTTTCTAGCATGTCTATTTTTGCTTCCCTTTTTTTACTTCTCTCTTTCTTCCATTCTTTAAAGTTTTGCCTCTCTTTTCCGTATCTTGTACTTCTCTTTCTTCCATTTCTTTCTGTGTATTTCTTTCTTTTTTTCTCTTTCTTTCTTTGTATTTCAATCCTTCCTTCCTTTCTTTCTTCCTTTCACGCTCCCTGTTTCCTTCATACCTCCTTTTCTTTTTTCTTTTTTATTTTCTTTTCATGTCTCTTTGACTTCCTTTCTTTCCCTGATTTTTATTCTCTTTATTTATCTCTCTTTCTTTCTTTCTGTCTTTTGTTCTTTATTTTATTTTACTGCTACCCACTTTATCTCGTTTCATCTTCGTTTCGTCTTCATTTTTTTTTATTTTTCGACTGATTCTTGCATGTTTTTGTTTCGCTATCATCACTCCCTTGAAACAATTACCACTCCTTTTAAATATATCTGCTTTCTATCACTATTACCTCAATCTTTATTCTCTTTCTTTTCCTTACCACTTTGCCGCCACGAAATCTTCTACGCTTCCTCCACCTTTCCATTGTTCTTTCTTTTCTTTTTCTTTTGCCCCAACCTCATCTTCCTGTTCTTTAATTCTAAACCGATACCTTCTTCCCGCCTTCCGTCATTTCCTCTCTTTGAAACTTCCAGGAAATCTGAACAATAGAAAAATTGACAATAAAAATCGCCGACGGTCTTTGTCACCTCATCGTGCGGTCGACTTTCTTTTCAACATGTTTCAAATTACCCTTTCGTTACTCTTTTTTTCATTTATAATGAATTATATTTTATGAAAAAAGAAAGCAATATATATATAGAAAAAAAAACGAATATTGCTATTATTTTTAAAGAATTAGATTAAAAATTTGTCATTAATCATTATTCGATTCCGTTGATAGTGGCATGCGCGGAAGGAAGTAATATACGGCCATCGCTCAGATCAGAAGTTAACGCGGTAATTAATTAAAAAAAAAAGAAAAGAAAAAAAAGGTTCTGCCCTCTTCCTTCTCTTGATCATATATCAGCATCTCTGTCGGAAAAAATTAAGAAAATATTTCATTCCTTATATTTTAAATCCCACGCCATTTCGTTTTTTTGTTTTGTTTTGTTTTTGTAAAGGAAGGAAGCATCAATAACCATAAAACAAGAGATCAGTTTCTCCTTCTCCTTCTCTCTCCAACTCTCTTCCTTTCTGCTGCTCTCTCTTCTTTTTGTATTTTACATTCCTTTTTATCAAGCTATCATATTTAATTTATTGTGAAATAATTCTCTATTGGAAGCTCTGCTGAGAAATGGTTATCTTTCTATTAAAGCTCGCATAAGCCGCGGTGAACTGAGGTTTCGTTAGAGGTAACGCTATCTTAAACGATCAGGACGCTACGTTCCAGGTCATAAGTTTGTTAAACGGCGGACCATTTAAATTTAAAAGTTTCCTTCAGAATATAATTATGGTTTCGTAATTTGGTTTCAAGCTTTGGGAATTTACAGCAAAAAAAAAAAGTCTTGAATTTCTTTGAATTTCGTTGCAGTACAAAAGCTTTAATTGAACAGTTGGTGACGATCTTTGTTTTTTCGTTTCTTTTAATTTTTTTTATTATTGTTCTCACATTACAAATCCCAATCGTCAGTCAATATAGTGGGTTACAAATTCGGAACAGTATAAGGACGTACATGAAGGGGTGTAGATGGGCGCACATGGACGGGTATAGATGGACGTACATGGACGGGTGTAGATGGACGTACATGGACGGCTGTAGATGAACGTACACGAACGGCTGTAGATGGGCGTACATGGACGGGTATAGATGGACGTACATGGACGGGTGTAAATGGGCGTACATGAACGGGTGTAGATGGACGGCTGTAGATGGGCGTACATGGACGGGTGTAGATGGACGGCTGTAGATGGGCGTACATGGACGGGTGTAGATGGACGGCTGAAGATGGGCGTACATGGACGGGTATAGATGGACGTACATGGACGGCTGTAGATGGACGTACACGAACGGCTGTAGATGGGCGTACATAGACGGGTGTAGATGGACGTACATGGACGGCTGAAGATGAACGTACATGAACGGCTGTAGATGGGCGTACATAGACGGGTGTAGATGGACGTACATGGACGGCTGTAAATGGGCGTACATGAACGGGTGTAGATGGACGGCTGTAGATGGGCGTACATGGACGGGTGTAGATGGACGGCTGTAGATGGGCGTACATGGACGGGTGTAGATGGACGGCTGTAGATGGGCGTACATGGACGGGTATAGATGGACGTACATAGACAGGTGTAGATGGACGTACACGAACGGCTGTAGATGGGCGTACATAGACGGGTGTAGATGGACGTACATGGACGGCTGTAGATGAACGTACATGAACGGCTGTAGATGGGCGTACATAGACGGGTGTAGATGGACGTACATGGACGGGTGTAAATGGGCGTACATGAACGGGTGTAGATGGACGGCTGTAGATGGGCGTACATGGACGGGTGTAGATGGACGTACATGAACGGCTGTAGATGGGCGTACATAGATGGGTGTAGATGGACGTACATGGACGGCTGTAGATGAACGTACATGAACGGCTGTAGATGGGCGTACATGGACGGGTGTAGATGGACGTACATAGACGGGTGTAGATGGACGTACATGGACGGCTGTACATGAACGTACATGAACGGCTGTAGATGGGCGTACATAGACGGGTGTAGATGGACGTACATGGACGGCTGTAAATGGGCGTACATGAACGGGTGTAGATGGACGGCTGTAGATGGGCGTACATGGACGGGTGTAGATGGACGGCTGTAGATGGGCGTACATGGACGGGTGTAGATGGACGGCTGTAGATGGGCGTACATGGACGGGTATAGATGGACGTACATAGACAGGTGTAGATGGACGTACACGAACGGCTGTAGATGGGCGTACATAGACGGGTGTAGATGGACGTACATGGACGGCTGTAGATGAACGTACATGAACGGCTGTAGATGGGCGTACATAGACGGGTGTAGATGGACGTACATGGACGGGTGTAAATGGGCGTACATGAACGGGTGTAGATGGACGGCTGTAGATGGGCGTACATGGACGGGTGTAGATGGACGGCTGTAGATGGGCGTACATGGACGGGTGTAGATGGACGGCTGTAGATGGGCGTACATGGACGGGTATAGATGGACGTACATAGACAGGTGTAGATGGACGTACACGAATGGCTGTAGATGGGCGTACGTAGACGGGTGTAGATGGACGTACATGGACGGCTGTAGATGAACGTACATGAACGGCTGTAGATGGGCGTACATAGACGGGTGTAGATGGACGTACATGGACGGGTGTAAATGGGCGTACATGAACGGGTGTAGATGGACGGCTGTAGATGGGCGTACATGGACGGTGTAGATGGACGTACATGAACGGCTGTAGATGGGCGTACATAGATGGGTGTAGATGGACGTACATGGACGGCTGTAGATGAACGTACATGAACGGCTGTAGATGGGCGTACATGGACGGGTGTAGATGGACGTACATAGACGGGTGTAGATGGACGTACATGGACGGCTGTACATGGACGTACATGAACGGCTGTAGATGGGCGTACATAGACGGGTGTAGATGGACGTACATGGACGGGTGTAAATGGGCGTACATGAACGGGTGTAGATGGACGGCTGTAGATGGGCGTACATGGACGGGTGTAGATGGACGGCTGTAGATGGGCGTACATGGACGGGTCTAGATGGACGGCTGTAGATGGGCGTACATGGACGGGTATAGATGGACGTACATAGACAGGTGTAGATGGACGTACACGAACGGCTGTAGATGGGCGTACATAGACGGGTGTAGATGGACGTACATGGACGGCTGTAGATGAACGTACATGAACGGCTGTAGATGGGCGTACATAGACGGGTGTAGATGGACGTACATGGACGGGTGTAGATGGACGTACATGAACGGCTGTAGATGGGCGTACATAGATGGGTGTAGATGGACGTACATGAACGGCTGTAGATGGGCGTACATGGACGGGTGTAGATGGGCGTACATAGATGGGTGTAGATGGACGTACATGGACGGCTGTAGATGAACGTACATGAACGGCTGTAGATGGGCGTACATGGACGGGTGTAGATGGACGTACATAGACGGGTGTAGATGGACGTACATGGACGGCTGTACATGAACGTACATGAACGGCTGTAGATGGGCGTACATGGACGGGTATAGATGGACGTACATGGACGGCTATAGATGGACGTACATGAACGGCTGTAGATGGGCGTACATGAACGGCTATAGATGGACGTACATGGACGGGTGTAGATGGGCGTATATGGACGGCTGTAGATGGACGGCTGTAGATGGGCGTACATGGACGGGTATAGATGGACGTACATGGACGGGTATAGATGGACGTACATGGACGGGTATAGATGGACGTACATGGACGGGTGTAGATGGGCGTATATGGACGGCTGTAGATGAGCGTACATGGACGGGTGTAGAGGTGCAAAATATGTGAATATGCAGGATAGATAACGATTGACTCTCGACTTGAAGATGCTAAGATTGTCTTGATCAGGGAAATATTCTGTCATGAGTCCGTTCTATTATACAACAGCTATGAAGGAGAAGCTGTCCGAGAAGAAATTCCTCCTAACCAATGGAATATGACTGATTGATTAGTTTTCCATGTCTTATCTTTCTTTGGCAGGTTATTTAAAAACAGAACATACTTTTAGACTTTAGAATCTTTTTGGGGGGATGTTAATGGTTTTAGTGATACAAGTCTTACTAATTAACCCATAGCTAGGAGGGAACGAAGTAGATTCATACCTTTCCAAAGGGTATTTGCGCGCGAGTGAATATAACGAACGCAATGGGAATTAGAACCCGGCTCTCCGATTAAAAATTCCGATCACACTAGCATCACACCCAAACTTACAGCACAGGGTATTCCACAGTGATTTCCCATCTATGTGCTTACTACGCTCGACGTTGCTTAACTTCTTTGGTCATACTGGAACCGGTGTTTCCGCATGATGTGACCGTAAGCAAGCATAGCAAAGGTACGGGCAATAGAGGAAAACAGGCAATAACAAACTTTAAAATTCTGTGCATGTAGATAAAGGAACAAGTATTGATAAGAGAAGAAAAAAGACAAGAAGCTGTGGTGGGCTGTAATAACTCTAGTAATAAAGATATAGAGGGTAACAGATTAAAATAAAAAGAGAGATTTTCAATTGCTCGTTTCCAACTTCATTAGGATGCTGTCTGTCTCCATTTTCATTAAGGCTCTGACTCCTATTTCGAAAATTAATTTCAAATAAGCAAGAAAATGACGACTCACTGGAATTCTCTATATAATTATGCAACCATTAAACAGTAAAACTCTTATTCTTGAAATGTAAGAAACACCAAATGTCTGGAAAACCCGAGTGCCGATATTTTACAGTTTAACCATTCATTTCGAATCTGTTTTATGATGTTTAGACCAAGTATACATAAGTCCAATAGGCAAAAATAGATAAAAAAAAGAAAAGAATACCAGTTAAATCATTCAGTATATGATTAAAATGTATCAGGCCCTTGTAAAAGTCCCTGCCCATCTTCATTATTAATAGAAAATGACCGCAACTTTACACTGGCGTTTGTTTTGGTGCCGATTTCTACTGTACACTATTTACATTATTCGAACTATTGTCCTCATCTTTGTTGCCATATTTATCACAATGTTTCGGCCGTTGTACGCTCCGGCCTTCTTCAGGTGGTTGGAATGTTGAACTGAACTCTTTATTTCGCTCACTGGGGTAGACTGTTCTAGTTCAACGTGTTATGTCTAATGGACGTCAGTTATCAGTTATCTCCTGTTAATTCATCTCTCCAAGTTCTTCACTGCCTTAACCAAGTATTGAACTCACAACTATTTGGGTCCTATTACTGGATCAATACCTGGTTAAGGCAGTGGAGAACTTGGAGAGGGGACTTAACATGAGATAACTGATAAGTGACATCCATTAGACATGGAACGCTGAACTAGAACAGTCTACCCCAGCGAACAAAATAAAGGGTTCATTTCGACATTCCAACAATAGTTCGAATAATGTAAATAGTGTATATAATACCTCATCTCAGAAACATATATAGGTACTTATTTCTCGTGTGTTTTAGATTGGAACCTTGTATCGTTCAGTTGCAAGACAGACTTTTCTTTACTGTTGCCGTGTTGTTCACAAATGAATGTCTTCAAAATGGACGATGAAAAGCTGCACTTTCGCCATATTATGCTGTATGTGTTTCGGACAAATGTAAGCTTTAGAATTGATACAAAAATTCAGAAGGATTATTTGGATCGTGTTGAAGCTCTTCGGACAACCAAAAAGTGGTTTGACAGATTTAGTTAGGCTGATTTTAATGTAAACTAGCAACGACGACGATGAAGACGCTCTGCTTGCCATCGTGAGGAATAAACCAAAGACTTCGAGCACAAAAAATTGCTAAAAGTTTGAAAATCTAGTATATAATTGTCTTTTTCCTACGCCTGATAGGTGAGGTAATAATTTAACTGATGATTAGGTATGAACACTTTCACCCATATTATTTTTTACCCTTATCTCTGCATCTCTGTGACAAGACCATAGTCAGAAAAAAAATGGAGAATAAGTTAATGTACTTGAAAAGTTTTATTCGTGTCTTTGCAAATAGAAAATAAATTATTTGGCAATAGTTTTAAGATTATGATCGCCAGACCATGTTTTTTTTTGTATTTCTAATTATTGTCTTGTAGATACCAACCAAAAACTAATCAAAAGTTTGATTAACTAGAATGGGGAAATTAAGAAGGTTCTTTACTCCGTTTCTGAGTAATCTGTGGTTTGCCTTCTTAATTGAGTCGTATGCTGATGTCACAACTATTTATTCCTGTTTTGGTAGCAAGTCAGACAAAATAAAACTGGCCCTCTAGAAGAACCTCCTATCAGTTGTTAACTGTAGCAAGGAACATCTTACCAATGCTAACCCCTACAAAACAAACTGTTTTGATTTAATCACCATAAAGAACTTCGTCTGCCCGTCATGAGCATGAATTATGCTAATCCCCAGAAAAGCAACTCTGTGTGAATTCTTGGGTTCACTTTTTCCACTGACATGAAATAATTATATTATTAGATTATATTGAATCATTTGATAGATCTACTGCTAGGAAAGTTGGTTCCCTGCGTCGTTTGGGGCATGTTTCTCATCGTGATCAATCTTGCACATTTATAAATTTACCATTCGTCCATGAATTGAATTTTGCTGATCTGGTGCTCTTACTATATATCTCTATATTCTTGACTAAATTCAGAGAACTGTCCCGAATGTAATCGATCCTTACCTAGCACCTCGACTTTAGTCATTTTCTTACCGACGTGACATGGCTTTCCTCTGTCTCTTCTACAAATATATCTTCATGGCAATTGTTCTGATGAGCTTTTCCCCCGTGGTTCCTCGACTGCACAGATTTAAGGGCTACTAGATTGACAAGTAGATGTCACCATTTTATTATTGAAGATGCAACCGTGTGTTATATTCTAATAGTTTCTTTTCTTATACTTCTAGCCTGTGGAACGCCAATCCGATTTCTTCAGTCAATCTTGAAAAATTTAAATGTAACACCAAATGCCGTCTTAATCCTGTTTTTTGTTGTACCCGTCTCTTCATTCCACTAAATTCGTCTCATTCTCTTTCAACCCCAATTATCACTTGTGCCCTAGTGGCATTATCACCTGAAATGACGAAACAAAAGTATTTCCCCTTTTTAACTGAGTCGTAACGATAACAATAAAAATTTGATAATACCACCATTCGTATCCGAGAATGACCATCTACTAGAGCGGCTGGCTTGGCTAATTCCTGTTGCAGTTGCCTCCTCATGTACATTTCTATTTGTTCAATACCCAGAGCCCATATACGTCAAATATGCTGGTCGGACTTTAGAGTTTCTGGAAGAGAACGCGTTATCTAGCGTCAACAATCCGAACAAGGCCAGCGCTCACAAACTCTCGGTACCGATGACTTGTGACTTCGTGCTATCACAAATACTTCCGTCTACCCAATTTCACTCACAAAACTTGGGTCAACCGTGATATAGTTTTCAAGAACTTTCCAAAGGTGCTGCACGCCGAGGTAACTCCCATCAGACCGATAAGATCAAGAAGTCACCTTCCTGATAAATGGTGAGATTCGAACCCTGGTCTCATGGTTAGTAAACGAGCGTTCTAACCACTAACCGCCTATTCTATGCATATTAGTAATGGCAATGTAGAGTATAGCCGTTTCCTTACAGGAGTCATGATGTATTTTGTGTTAGTATCGGTTGAAAAAGATTAAAAAAATATTTCAGGTATTAATACTTAAATTCCTCACTCTTATTGCTCATTCTAGTACTGATAATAGCTTGTTTATGTGATTATTCTCCCTTTTAGTTACATATTAGTTACTTTATTTTGCAAAGATCTTAGTTTCCGGAATTATAGTGCCAATTACAAAGCTCCTGATGGAGTACCATCCCCTTCAAAAACATAAAGAACTGATTCACTTGAATGGTTTTATTTTAACTTTGTTCTTTTTCCGTTTGTTGGGCAAAAGTGTTAGCTGTAATATAACACTAAAAAATTATCTGTTTTTAAAGGTTTCTTGAATTTTTCACTGGGATTTTCTTTAGACGATATTGTCTGCTATTTCTTCGATATCGAAAGCATTGATATCCAATGAGTGTGGAATAAAAAAAAACAAAAACATGACAGATTTCAAAATAAAAAAAAATGGAAAGATATTTCGAATTTAGAAATGCTTGAATCTGTGTTGTAAAGATAGCATGTGTTTTTATTCATGAAAACATTCTTTATAAATGTTAATTCCCAAATGATAAAGGATTAATGAATGATATCAAATGTTTATTTTCATCTTTGTAAGATTTAAGAAAAATAAAACTTATAAGGAAAGAGACAGCTGAAATGTTTACGACACATCATGTGAAAAAGAGGGACTGGGAAATCTAACTCTCAAAGAACATATTGAACGTAAGAGTAGGTGAGGGTAACGGTAAGTGACCAAGGAAATAAAGTCTGGAAAATCTAACGGTGACGGTATATATTGAAGGTAAGTGCGACGAAAGGTTGTCTAGAGAAATCCAACGTTCACAGGTGATAGTGACGTCAAGAGACGCGTGGGTGGGGGAATAGTGAGCAAACGAGCCTAGAAAGTCTGAAACATATACGATATATTTGATGGCAAGAGAAGCAGAGGAAAACAGTGAGTAATCGAATAAAAGAGGGCCTAGAAAATTAAAAAAAAAAAACTTACACGTGATAATGAAAGCAAAAGTAACAGAAGAAAAGACAAAGTAACCTTGAGAAGAGAACTTGAAAAATCTAAAAGTCACAGGTGATATTAATGGCAACAGATGCGGGGTGAAATAGTGAGCAGTCTAGGAAAGATGACCTGGAGAATT